TTTTTTCTTCTTGTTCTTCTTTATTCCCCCATTTTTTCTCATATATATTCTTATTATTTACCATCTCTTCTCCTTCATTTCAACTTAATTGTAGTTAGGGTAGTTAGGAAGCTGTGTGTGTGTGTGTGTGTGTGTGTGTGTATCTTGATTGGAACTAGGTATAGAGTAGTGGCTTGGGGGAGGCGGTGATTAGTGACAGGTAGAATAAAAGATGGTGGGACAAGGTATTGGTAACAACACCTGGGCTAACGAAGGAAGATCCACCTCCCCTCACACACACTTGAGGTGAAGAACCTTCAAAGATACACTCTGGACGACTGGATGCCCCCCCGTCCCTCCTCAGATTTTCAAGATGGCCGCTGCAGCAAATCGATACGGGCGGAGAGTTCCACTTGTCAACACGCTGGCGAAGTTTTTTTCTCTCTCTCTCTCTCTCTCTCTCTCTCTCTCTCTCATGTCATTTTACGTGGCGTGCGTGGTTTTATTTGTGTTTTATGAGACGGGTTTATTGTGTTCTCGTTTTTAGGTTTATGATGGATGAGGTGTGTGGCGGATTTGGACAGTTTGGTGTGGGAATAGTTGTGTGTGTGTGAGGCAGGACTATACTGGTACAGTATAACTTTGGCTTCAGTGTCCCTAACATTATTATTATTATTGTTATTATTATTATTGTTATTATTGTTATTATTGTTATTATTATTATTATTATTATTATTGTTGTTATTATTGTTATTATTATTATTATTTATTATTATTGTTATTATTATTATTATTATTATTATTATTGTTATTATTGTTATTATTATTATTATTATTATTGTTATTGTTATTATTATTAATATTATTATTATTATTATTATCATTATTATTATTATTATTATTGTCGTTATTATTATTATTATTATTGTCGTTATTATTATTATTATTATTATTATTGTTATTGTTATTGTTATTAACATTATTATTATTATTATTATTGTTATTATTATTATTATTATTATTATTATTAAACGTGTAAGAATGTGTTTGTTTATTTCATGTTTATAGTTACTTTAAGGACATTATAGATTGACGGTGTATCATCTCTTGGCGTCTATAATGTAAAACCAACAACAAAATCAACTTGGGATCGCATGAAGATTATAGGCAGCTTAGCTTGATTTACTGAACGCTAACCTAACCTATAACCTAACTAACACCCCCCCCCGAGGTAGCGTTAGGGTTTTTTAATTATCAGGTAAATAAACTGAGGGTGGCTAATCTTCACGTGATCCACAACATCTTGGTGATAGTCCGGTGACTCCGCTCTGAGGGACACGACACAAGTATGTCACCAGTTAGTTCCTCCTTCGTCAGGTGGGTTCTTGTACCTGACGTAACCTAACCTAACCTAATCTTCAGGCGATGTGAGAGGTAAACAGAGGTTGAGAGTCATTAGGACAAGGGCCCGTAAGGACAGGGCCCATTAGATCAAGGGGCCCAATGGATTTAAGTCACTTATAGAGAGGCAGGCAAAGAAAAACAGATGAATATCGCGTCTCCTCGCATGATCACTTCTCTCCCGGAGCTTCTATCATGAAGTAAACAAAACGAATGAAGAAGAATGAAGTTTTTCCATAATCCACGAGATGAAGGAAAGAAGAAATGTTACACAATGGGGGGACGGTTAACTAGTTGGGTATACCTGCAACAGGAGGCGCTGCAGCCAGAGCCGTCTTGGTTATGTGGTGAGACTTACCCGCTCCCCTCTTTAGCTCTCTCCCTTTATCCTCTCTCTCTCTCTCTCTCTCTCTCTCTCTCTCTCTCTCTCTCTCTCTCTCTCTCTCTCTCTCTCTCTACCTGGCTACCGTCCTCCTTTCCTTCCCTTCCCTCTTGCCATCACTACGACCCTCAACCTCCTCTCCCCTCCTTCCCTCCCCTTCTTCCCTCTCCCCCCTCCCTCCCTCCCCGCCCTCCCTCCCTCTCCCCCACCCTCCCTCTCCCCCCTCCAGTCACACCTAAAGCAGCTCCTCATTCTTAAAAAATATTCACAAGCTTAAAGTTTCCCCTCAGACAGGACACAAAATGGCCTCCTTCATACACAGAGACTTTACAGATACCAACCCTTCCCTCATCTTTCCCCTTCCTTCCCCTCCCCTCATCCATGTAGCTTCCCTCTCTCCCCTCCTATTCCCATCTTCACCTCTCCCTCCTTCCCCTCTTAAGAAATATTATAAAAAAAAAGGTGAGATGATGATATAGAGCTTGTGTATAGAGCCGCCATATTATGTTGTGTTAATATAATACTCTAAGTTCTTACCTATTGAACATATTATTATTAATATTATTATTATTATTATTATTGTATTAAATTTGAACGGTATTAAACAAGAATAAACAAATTATTTCTTCTCAAAGTTTTTTTTTTTTCCACATAAACTTAATATCTTCTTTGTGTTGTTTAGGTCTTTCACTATTTCCCTAATTTATTCCTTTCTGCTTTAGTTCCTTCTTCTTCTAACTCTTACGTGGTAATTATTCTCTTTCTTCTTTTTGTTTTGTTCTTGTTCTTCATCTTTCTTCCTTTTCTTCTCCACCTTCTTTCCTCCTCTTCTTCTTCCTGTTCTAATTTATGTTCATTCTGTTTGGTTATTTATAATTGCTGTTATTATCGTGTTTTCTTTTGTTCTCTTTCCTCCTCTTTGTGTTCTCTCTGTTCTTCTCCCTGTCATTATCTTTGTTCATTTGTGTTATTGTATTACATTACTTACGCTGTTTTTTTAGTGTTATTATTCTTAGCATTGTTATTATTGTTGTTATTTTTGTTGTTTGTGTTATTGTTTTTGTTGTTGTTTTTATTATTGTTGTTATTTTTATTATTGTTATTATTATTATCATCATCTTTTTCGCCTCTAGTTTCGTTTCTCAGTTTTAACCTCTCTTCCCGTCCTCTCTCTCTCTCTCTCTCTCTCTCTCTCTCTCTCTCTCTCTCTCTCCTCACCCCTTATTTTATTCCTCCTCCTATTACCTTCCCTCACCCTCTCGATTCCTCTCTCTCTCTCTCTCTCTGTGGTGGGTAGTGGTGGCCGGGGCATAAACACAGTGAGGCAGCTGGGGGGGCTCTCATTCTCCTGCCTTGTTATAGTGGAGAGTTTGGTCACGTGGTCCTTGCTTAATTGGGAGGCCACGTTGTTAGGGATGTAGGTGAAGGGATTGGGCTCTTGGCTTTGATGGGGATTAGGGATTTCTAGAGGAGGAGGGAGGAGGAAGGGATTTGTCTCATTAATGATGATCTTGTTGCCCTTCCTCCTCTTCCTCCTCTCACCTCCCCCCTCCACCACCTCTTCCTCCTCCTCCTCTTCCTCTTGTCTTCCCCAGAGATGGTCTTCCTCTCACACTCATGTGCTTTAAGCTTAACGATTAAATTGTTTCTCTGTCTCTCTTCCTCCCTCCCTCTGTCTGTCTGTCTGTCTGTCTGTCTGTCTGTCTCACTCTGATTGTTTGTTGATCCATCTGTCTGTCTGTCTGTCTATTTGCATTTGTGGACTGATTGAGGTGTGTGTGTGTGTGTGTGTGTGTGTGTGTGTGTGTGTGTGTGTGTGTGTGTGTGTGTGTGTTTATATTGCACGTGTTAGTTCTTCGTGTCTTGTTTTATTTTTGCCGTTGTTGTGTTTGTTCTGTGTGGTGATTGGCCTGCAGTTACTCACGCCGTATCGGTCTAGTAGCGGCGAGTGTGTGTGTGTGTGTGTGTACTGCTGTGTGTGCTGTGAGTATTGTTTTATTTCATGTGGAGATGTACATGACGGCCACACACACACACACACACACACACACACACACACACACACACAGCATAACTTTACGATACGAGAACATTAACAACTTTGAGATTTCCTAACCTAACCACTTCGTTTAATTAATTATCTTACCTAGGGCAACAGATGACCATACCTCCTTACACAGGTGAGCGAGCGGCCAAACTAAGTCGTAATTGGCTGTTGTAATTTTTCCCTTTCAACTATAGGTGTAAAGACGTATCTCATCGACTTGGGGGTAATAATGGCGTCGAAATTGACCTGAGACTTGTTGGCCTTAAGTGTATTTCTAAAGGAGGAAATTAACTTAAAAAACATTGAGATTCTGAAGCGACGTAATTATCCCGTCATGATGTACACGAAGATGGAGGTTACGACCTTTCTACTTGTTATAACCTGAAAGATATTAATTTTTATTCTAGAAGGAAGTTACTGTATGTTATTAGGAGGAGGAGGTAGAGGTAGTTGGGTTGTAGTTAAAAAGTTGTAAGTTTGTTCAGGTACAAGAGATACAGTTGTTGGTGTGTGTTGTTGATTGTGTGTGTGTGTGTGTGTTGTTGATTGTGTGTGTGTGTTGTTGATTGTGTGTGTGTGTGTGTGTGTGTGTGTTGTTGATTGTGTGTGTGTGTGTGTGTGTGTGTTGTTGATTGTGTGTGTGTGTTGTTGTTGATTGTGTGTGTGTTGTTGATTGTGTGTGTGTTGTTGATTGTGTGTGTGTGTTGTTGATTGTGTGTGTGTGTGTGTGTTGTTGATTGTGTGTGTGTGTGTGTGTAATTAATGTGGACTTGTTAGCGTTTGTTTGTCCCCCCCCCTCATGTTGTTATTTATATGTTGTGTTTGATAATTGTACCTCTGCACCCAACACCTGGGCCTCTACCTTCACATTTACATACACCTGTACCTCTGCTTTACATACACCTGTACCTCTACACCTTTACATACACCTGTACCTCTACACCTTTACATACACCTGTACCTCTACCTTTACATACACCTGTACCTCTACACCTTTACATACACCTGTACCTCTACACCTTTACATACACCTGTACCTCTACACCTTTACATACACCTGTACCTCTACACCTTTACATACACCTGTACCTCTACACCTTTACACACACCTGTACCTCTACACCTTTACACACACCTGTACCTATATGTTGCTCTTGATTAATAAGACTGGCATCACATTATGGTACTCACCTGAAGTAGTCATCCCGGCAGTAGAGTTGGCCATGCTTAGCGAAGCACTTCTCCTCTAGGGGCTGGTGGCACTCTGAGCACCTGAGGCAGGCACTGTGCCACAAGCCCTCCTGCGTCTTGGAGAACCAGCGCTCCGTGATGCGTCCCCGACACCCCACACACACCACCTCCTCCTGCCCCTGCGACTCCTCCTGACGGTCTAGCATCCTGAGGCACCGTGAGGCGTCTTCCAGAGGGCCGTGTGTCTGCAGCCTGACGGAGGAGAGAGAGAGAGAAGAGTTGGCGGTGGTCATGAAGTCATCGACGTCTCCCGCGGTTTAAGGTCATATCAGAGGTTAAAGGTCACCACTATAATGGGGTGTAGGAGAGGTGCACGAGAAACTAGCTTGCCTTGGGGGGGCAAATGAGAATTAATATATGATAACTGGTGTGTGTGTGTGTGTGTGTGTGTGTGTTTAAGGTTTATATGTGGACCTTAAAATGTTTCATGTCAACTTTTAACATCTGAATCTTAAGTGATGCAATAATTAAGTTGTATTGCGGAAGGTATGGATATATTTGCTTATTTAAGTTGGATGAAATACACATACTGAATGTATTTAACACACACACACACAGGTTCCAACAGTATCAGTATATAAGGTGCCTAAAACACCAGCTAATATGACCTGTTAGGGAAGTGCTGAGACCGTGAGCAATAGGAGAGAGAGAGAGAGAGAGAGAGAGAGAGAGAGAGAGAGAGGTGACCCTAAACTTCAGGAGGCACTAGAGGACTCCCCCACCAGGAGAAGAGAGACGCCATTATACCTTCTCATTATTCCGGCCGTACAAGATCTTCCTTATATATTAAAAAAAAAAGTGTTGGAATATATATATATATTTTTATGACGGTAGTGGTGAGGGGGGGTGTGGAGGGGAGAGTGAGAGGGTATGGGAGAGGGGTGGGGTGAGAGTTGAGGGGTAGGAGAGGTGGATGGGAAGAGGGCTAAAAGGCGGGGAGAGAGCTAGAGTGAGGTGATGACTGGGGTGAAGGCTGGGGAGGGGTAGAGGCTGAGGTAGGATGAGGATCTGGGGCAAGGTGAGGTTGAGGCATGGTGAGGGCTCGGCCCAGGGTAGGACTAAGGCATGGAGGCAGGGTCACTACTAGAGCTGGGGGCAGGGGTGAGAACTAGGACTGGGCTGTGTGAAGGCTGGCTGGGGCTGTGTGAGGGCTGGCTGGGGGCTGTGTGAGGGGCTGGCTGGGGCTGTGTGAGGGCTGGCTGGGGCTGTGTGAGGGCTGTGGCGAGAAGCAAGACGCCATTAGTCCTCGTCTGGTGAGAATTTTGGCTCCAGAAAAAATAAAAAATAAAAAGTGTAGATCAGAGGAAAAATGTGAGGTGGAGAATATAGCGAGGGGGAGTATTTTTGTGTGCTGTGTCCCTCTCACTCCGCCCCAGGGAGAGCGGGGAGTGGCAGCTGGAGTGACGCTCTCTAACTCCCCTCACTCTCACCTCTCTCCTCCTAACCCCCCCCACGCTCTAACCTCTCTTTAACCTCCCTCTTTACTTCTCCCTCATCCTCCTCCTTGCCTCGCCCTTTCCTGTCCCAACACCTCCCTCCCTTCCTCCCATCACCCCACCTCCCTCCCTCCCTCCCTCCCTCCTTCCCTTTCTCTCACCTTTACCTCCTCTTGCCCCTCCTCCCTTCTGATATCCCTGCCCCCCTCACCTCCACCACCCCTCTCATCACCCCTCTCACCGCCCCTCTCCCTTAACACATGTAGGGCTGAGGGCCTCCTTCATGAAAGGCAAATCATTTAAGCTACAGGAAAAGACAAAACGTGACCAGGTATATGGTGTGTGTGTGTGTGTGTGTGTGTGTGTGGTTGTGTGTGTGTGTGTGGTTGTGCGTGTGTGTGTGTGTGGGGTTGTGCGTGCGTGTGTGTGTGTGTGGTTGTGCGTGTGTGTGTGTGGTTGTGCGTGTGGTTGTGCGTGTGTGTGTGTGTGGTTGTGCGTGTGTGTGTGTGTGGTTGTGCGTGTGTGGTTGTGCGTGTGTGTGTGTGTGTGTAATAATAATAATAAAAATAATAATAATAATAATAATAAACGGTTTATTAATAGAGTTGCCGCCAGTGGCTGAAAATATACAGACTTACATTTGATTTAGACAATGATATAATATGCGTTGAATATAGTGTGTGTGCGTGTGTGCGCGCGCGTGCGTGTGTGTGTGTGTGTGTGTGTGTGTGTGTGTGTGTGTGTGTGTGTGTCCTAAACACTCGGGCTACATAAACTAAAAATAAATTAATATGCAAATTGTAATGGAAAGTTTGTACAAGGAAAACATTTAATTAAAGAGTGACAAAATAATAATTAATTTTACGATTCTAAATTTATAATAATCAGGTAAAATTAATCACCTAAAATATAATAATTTTTCCTAGATCCTCATCCTAAATTTAATTCCTCACCCTAAATTTATCACCATTAAAGGACGTCTGTATACCTTAATTGGCACTTAGGACATACTTGTTGCTAATTATCTGATTGCGTTAATGAAGGAGGAGATAGTTAGGTAATACAGTTTTGTTAGTGAGGTAATTTATGACGGAATGATGACGTTGGTGATTGGTGTAGTTATGTGGTGGTGGTGGGTGATAATTGTGGTTTGTAATTAATGGTGTTATTATTGTCTTGAGAGAGAGAGAATTATAATAACAACAATAATAACCACCATAATAACAAAAGCATAACGACAACAAATAAAATAAAAATAATAACAAGAATAACGATAACATATGAATGGCAATGATAACAAAATAACAACGAAAATAAATAATAAAAAAAACCGCGGCAACAATTTTTTTAGATATAAAATTTGCATTATGCAAATTAGTTTTATATTGTATTCCTTTTTACTTAGTTATTTTTTTGTTAATTAAAAATAACTAATGCGACGGAAAAAATTAATTGATAGGGAAGAAAATATATAAAGCTTTTGATTTATTTTTGTGGAGACGGGTTTGTGTGTGTGCGTGAGGGTCGTGGTTGGGTATTGTAGTCGTTGTGGTCGTTGTGGTTGGGTATTGTAGTCGTCGTAGTTGTGGTGGTTTAGTCGTTGTTGTGTGCTGTGTTGGGCTGGGCTGGGCTGTGCTGTGCTGTGCGGGGCTTGGCAGGATTGTGGTGGGCAGGGCTAGGAGTGAGGGGGGGGGGGGCAGGCAGCCTCTCCCAAGGTATCATACTGGTTCACCTGCTCGCCAACAACGCCGGGCATCTTGCATCAAATTTTCATATGCAAATTGATCAGAAGGTAGAGCATAGCGGACATAGCTGGAGCATAGCGAACATTGCTCAGGGGTAGCTTGGGAATATGCTGCTGGGAGAAACTCTATGCCCCAGGAGATGTTTGAGGGTATGTTAGTAATGTCTTTGTTCAGGTATGTTGACGGTGGCAGCGCGTCTTGGGGGATGTCAGGTGTACTGGCCACAGGTGGGGCGTCTCTAAATCATATTCGTTAACATTTTGATGGTAGTGGGAGTGGTGTTTACAGTTGCTCTGGTATGGTGTGGTGTGTGTGTGTGGTGTGGCGTGGCTGGTGTTTTCAATTCACTAATACTGTAAGAGTATCCGGAGACGTACACGAAATAGTACACATAGTAACTCGATGTTAACTCCCTCCCTCCACACACACACACACACACACACACAGACGGGAGAGAGACATGAAAGGCTCTCATTAAAGTGTACCTAAGGCAACAGGACCGGTGAGAGTCGTATGGATGACAAAAAGGTCGGGGTTTGCACAGTAGATGGAGGTCCTGTTTACTCTGGCGCCTCTCTTACGTATAAGTGTAGTACAGGGGCCTTCTTCAGGTACCACGACTTATGTACGACCTCTCCTTCTCTCCTTCAGGTATCACGACCTCTCCTTCAGATACCATGACCTCTCCCTCAGGTAACACGACCTCTCCTACAGGCACAACGACTACTGCACTACAGCTTCCTTTATTGTTGATGGCTAGTGTGTTAATAACCTTAGGTACACACGCACGCACACGCACTCACGCAGCACGCGCACACACACACACACACACACACACACTTATATGACCATAGTTGTTTAAAGGGAAGTTATAACATCAACACTTGAGGGTTATGTTCTTCAGCGGTGTTGTAGATGTTGTTATAGGGAACATTTAACTTTGTGGTGGTTGTAACTTAAGAGTGGAGGAATGTTAGGATGTTTAATTATTTTTTTTATTTACCACACCCATTACACTCATTCAGTACACCACACCACACTCACTACACCACACCACACTCACCACACCACCACACCACCACACCACCACACCACCACACACACTCACCACACCACCACCACACTCACCACACTCACCACACCACCACACTCACCACACCACCACACTCACTACACCACTACACCTCACACCACCACCACACTCCTACTCACCACACCACCAAAATCACCAGTCACCGTGACACTCAAATCAACCACAGCCATTTCCCATTGAAGACTTTAGTCATATGTGTGTGTGTGTGTGTGTGTGTGTGTGTGTGTGGTGGTAAAGGTGTGATGCGGAGGCGGGAGCGTGGGCGGGGAGAGGGTATAGGTAGCTAGGTGGACGAGGAGGGCACGAGGATGGGGGGTGGGGGGTGGGGGCAGTATGTTGTGGGAAGGGCAGGGCAGGGTAGGGTAGGGGTAGCTAGGTAGGGTGAGGCCCCGCAGTCTCACAACTCCTCCCTCTCGCCCTAATCAAACCACATGTGTCAGACGTCGTAGAAAGGTGGTGCCATCTGCCCTCCTCCACCTCACACCACCTCACCTCACCTCACCCCCACCCCCACCCCACCCCACCCCCACCCCACCCCACCCCACTCCCACCCCACCCCACCCCACCCACCCCACCTCACCTCCACCATAACAAACATCAATACCATGTCTACCAAAAACACTCCTACAGCTCATTGATCTAACCAGACGCTTCCTATAGGATTCCTTTTATGACGAGAGGATATACGATAGATCCCCAGGAGACGTGTGTGGAGGCGTGAGGATGTACTGAATGAAGGGGCCGTGGTGGTGGTTAAGCGTATACCTGTGTGTGTCCCCGGAGGTTAGGTTAGGTTCAGGACACGTCGCCTGTTAGCTGATACAGGATTACTAAATTGTCGCGGAACGGAGGGCGGGAAGAATCTCCTCCCCCCTCCTCCTCCCTCCTCCCGCACTCACACGTCCCTCAAGGTGAATG